CATTCATAAGTATTTTCGTGTAAATAAATTATAAGAAAAACTATTATATGTAATTCTTCGGATTTACTGCAGCTAACCATTATACTTCCATCCTTGACATTAGCTACTTTGTAAGTATGATGTTTGAAGAAACTGGAAAAATATTTTTCATCGTATTATCATGTTTAATAGCAACAGGTCCTATGAACCAAAAAATAAATTTAAAGAAACAAATTGGCACCAAGTTTAAAAAACTCAAAACTTTTAATTCTTGGAAAATATTAACAAGCAAGTATTTCCAATTTTCTAAAGGAAAAAAATAACAAAGATAATCCAATTTATGTTCTTGTCATTATAGACAGGTAAATACTCTTCTTCTCTTTAATTAAAATTAATCAACGCTATCTAAAAAATTTAATTAATGAGCTCTTTTGTAGCATTTCGCTAAAGTTTCGTTCTTTCAGTTATCGACAGCGCGCAGGATTTTATCACAATTTTAGAGCCATTCTCTCGAAAAATACTCACAGGATTAAAAGGAAAATAAAAAAGCCAGTTGATTGAAACCAGCTGTACCCCAAACGTCTCCATTTACAGGACTTTAATCAAGTTTTGGCTAAAAAGTTAAAAATCCATCAGCGGGAAAAATTATGAAGTGTCGAACAATGGTTCAAAAAACAATCACGAACTGAAAAAACTATCAATCAGTCAGATATTTCTGTTTAGAATTATCACCCCCACGATTCTCTTAGTGAATACTTCGTTTGGTATTTTCAAATCTAAAATAATTTTCCAATTAATAATGGGCCCAATATGAGTTTTGATCTAGTATTATCAACATTACAGTTGCTAGAAGTTGTCTTGTATCTATTTATGAGGATTAATCACTATCTTCTCTCTATAGATGGAATAATTGTAAACTTTTCCAAACTAATGATTCGTTATTTTTATACTTATAAATTATCCGATGCTGTTTATGGACGAATAATAATCAAAAATTAAATATTTGGGACTATGCTATGACTTTTTATGTCACTGGGGTCGATGTGTGTAACAACAGATTTTATGAAGTAATTGTGTAACTAATTCAAATAAATGTGTCGCAAAAGTGATTTAAAAAATCTAAATTAGCAACTTATAAAAATAATGAGGATTTTAAGACTTTTTTAGATCTACGTTGGATGATAACAGATTGCTTCCTCTACCATCGCATCCTCGCTCGATATATGGGTTTAGCTTTTTTACCTTTAGTGGAATAATACAACTTGTTATAGATTCAAATTGATTTACTTTTTCGTACACCAAAATGACTGCCACAAATACAAAGGGGAAAACTGACTGTTCTGAAACTTCACTTAGAAAATTAACATTGACATTTTTTATTATAACGTTATTATAAGATTGATTAGATTTATTGATCGATGTTGCAAGAAGCCTGCTTTCTAGAAACGAAGTGGCGAACGAACTTGACCGAGATCGTTGCGTCATTTCATCCCTATGCGCAGTGATCTAATGCACATCAGTGGATCAAAAAATAGATCTTTACAATAAGATAATACTTTACAGAAACTGATATTAATAAACATTATTAAATTAGACTACATTAATTAAGATATAAATTAAATGTTAAATAAATGCATTTTTTATGTGAATATCACTAATTGTTTAAAAATGGTAGGTATGCAACATACACTACGCTTTTCGACATAATTGGTTGTCTAACAGTCAACTAACTTATATAACGTACAAAAAACATTATACGAGGCCATTACAAATAGTTCATTTTCCAACATACGTAAAGATATCAAAATTAATATTAGCAACGACTATAAAAATGTCATAAACGGAGCTGAAAAAATATTTAATAAGATATAAATTATTTTTGGTCATCCTTAAAGAATAAAAAAGCAAATCTATACCATATTTGTTTAAATATCAAGATGAAACAACAAAGTTTTCGCAGTCCAGATGTTCTTCTTTTTTCTGAATAAATTTAGGTTGGTTTGCACATCAGTTTAAAACTTTTTCTGATGTTTGGAATGTGCGCAATCAGTTTTTGTGTTCGTACATAAGTTTGCAACTAATTTTAAACCACTAGCCGGTTCTTTCCACATCATTTAGTGACAATCACTGGAAGGAACATGCTCATCTATACAGATAGCAGACAAGCACTACTCACCCTGAACAGACCACGAATTTATTCAGGGTTAGTACTAGAATGTCATAAAGCTTTGGCCGAAGTATCCATCAACAATGTGGTCACCTTAATCAAAGGTCACGCCACATCGAAAGATAACCGTCTTGCCGATTCACTAGCCAAGAAAGCAGCCAACCAGATATTTTTTGGACCTGGCTCTTCTATTGGCCTGACAAAATCGGTAGTGACAGACCTAATTAAAGAACATTCCCTTGTGAAATTCAAGGAAAGATGGAATGAAACAAGAAACTGCAGAGTTGCCAAGGAGCTCTTAAGTTATCCTGACAACACTGCAGCAAAAAAATATTTGACTATGACTAGACAGAATCTGCGTCTGGTCACAGGCATTCTGACTGGTCATTGCCAAGTACGGAAGCATCTCCATATCATGGGGCTCTCAGAATCCGCACTCTTCAGAGGGTGCGAACAAGAAGATAAGACCATCGAGCATATCCTTAACGATTGCCCGACGCTCTCATTTATTAGAAGATTCGTGTTCGGCGAGTATCGGCCGATATAAGAGAAGCACCTCTTGTTGACGTTGTTAACTACATTAAATCTGTAGGCTGGCTCACGAGCTAGGAGGTGCCTATCATCTTAGGAGGATGCACAATGGGCCTAAGTGCCGTGGGGGGGGGTAATTCACCCTCCACACGTTACAGATACAGATAGTGACAATCTGGCAACAGTCCGAGCAGTTTGAGGATTTTATTCAAGCAGATTGTTAGCACATGCGCATAGTACATCTGTAAATGTAATATCCTTGAGGTGTCAAATTTTGTGGTACGTTTTGTTTTGAGGTTATTTTGTTATTTTGTAAAAATATTTTATTATTATTAACAAGAGAAAACATGGATTACTTTGATGAATCTGAATGTCCAATGTCATCCGAAACTGACGATTTCGATTTGGAAATTCTTTCAGAAGAATAAAAGCAGAAAACCAAGGATTTTTTGAAGAATGATAGATCCTAATTTCATGGGAGCATTTCTGAACCAAATTCAAGTATAAAAGTTCATATAAACATTTCGTTCACTGGCGACAATAGCACAACTTAAAATTACAAATTATGGAAAAAACTGCATTTAAAATTTTAGTTATTTTCATTTTTCATGTTGTTAAGTTATCCAAATATTATAAATAACTTTTCTGTTTTTAAAAAAGGTGATATTTGTTAAATGTGTCAAGTGACACCGTTTTGATGAAAACTTCTTATAAGAGCAATGGAAACTGTTTTTATTTTTAAATAAAAAGAAAATATATGAGGTAGTCTTGCTTTATAAAAGAGAAATACGTAACAAAGAAAGCTATCCTACGTTAAAAATACAACTACATTTTCGGAAAAATCAGTCTTACTCAACGTCTATTCATTTTTTTACTCAAAATTTAAACTGTTATAAAAATAACTGTGACAATTTTTCTTAACAAAAACATGTGGTCATTATGTTTTTTCTTAGCAATAAGTATAGGACTATCGTAAGCTTTTTCAGTTCAAAGTTGTTCTGAAACGTCTTGGACGAATCACTTGGACTTGCTTAAAATATGTATCCTTCTTCTAAGATGTTTGGTAAACAACGAGTCCAAGTGATTTTTATCCACCCTAATTATTGAACCATCGGCGATTTTAAAAGTTTCGCCCATTGTGTTTTTTTGAAAATTTATGGTATGTTCAGTTAAATGCTTTAAGTCAAGAAAATCTTCAGGATACATCTCTATTACGTTAAAAGGCTTGCCGGTTTTTTTGGATGTTTGTACTATAGCTGCATACTGAGATGGTTTGTAAATAGAGCCAGATCTAAGAGCTCTCTTAACGCTTTTTTCACTTAAGGAATGGACATTATGAGTAATTGCCTTAATTTTATCATTAGCCACGGCATAAAGGTAAGCTGCAATGATGAATGTTTTTTTTTGTTGGCCTGTGCAATTATCAGAATAGAATACCATTTCGAGATCTTTAGTATTACACACAGCAGCCTTTTCCTTTAAATAATGCAATAGTCAAGTGCCTATTTCAACTTCCCCTCTCTTACCCTGACCTTCGTGCTACATGTAACAATTTACGAATCCTTGCCACAGTAAAATTTTAGGTGGACAGTTTTGATCTATTGTCCATTTGGTGTCGGTAGAGAGGCTTGTAGATTAAAACACGCTACCTGCTATGGAGAAGAAGTACTCCTTTTGTCGTTTTCTTTTTCTTCTCTGCTCAATCTTTTCTCCTCGATGTGGGTGTTATGTTCCTCCTAAATTTTTCTTTTCTTCTTCTGTTGAATTTTCATAGTATACCCATTCTTGGCACTGATCCTTTTTAGGAATAATAAATTGAACTCATGGTTGAAGACGTTTCTGTACATAGGGAGATTAGCAAACAGTTTTCCCTGATTTTTTGCATTCTTCCTTATAATCATCATGTAACTGAGCAATAAAGTTTTTCGGAATGTGCTCGTGTATAATGGCTCTTAATAGTAGGGGTTGACGAAATGTGAGATCGAACACCGCCTTTATTGTCCTTGGAAACTACTTTATGGTTTAAATTTTTCCTCTGTTATCTTCGGCTATAGTAGAATCTTTAATTTTCATTTTGATTGTTCGGATACAGCGCCCAGTAATGCCTAGTGCAGCTATGAAAAAATACAAACTCTTATTTTTTTCCGTCTTTTAGGAAAAAAATGCGTGGTTTTTAGTTCTGCTTACGGCATTATGTATGCAGGATTAACTTCTGAATAAGCAATAAAATATAGATACGTTGTTTTACAATATCACCCATGTCCCAGTATTTTTTAAATTGGTACTGAATTTGGTACTGAATTTTTGTTAGCACTTAGAATCTTCACACAGTGGTTTCATTTGTCGTCCTGAAACTATTAATCCCTTTCTCAAAGTTTTGTATTCTTTGCCAGTGTTTCTTAGGCGCTTGGTAGTGAACTTTCTCGTTCTTTTTTTTTGTAGTATCAGCCTCAACTGGCAAATTCACGGTATTAGCCGTTTCATTTTCATTATCGTCATCAGATGAGTCTAAACTTGATGATGATGAAGATGAGTCTGAACTTGATGATGATGAAGATGGGTCGTTGGTATAATTCAGATCTTTGACTGAGTCATCTGATGAAAAGGGTTCTTCAACATCGCAAAAATTACCTTTGACTAATATTGTCCATATCGTTATTAGCACTTAGAATAGTTAGTTGTTATGCTTTGTTAGATACGCCATCTAAAAGAATAAACGAAGGTATGTTATTTATCATTCTATGCATCGCAACCTGTTTATACTTATTATTAAATCATTTACCTTCACCTTCCATCATGCTGTTGGAAGCTGGTTTCTCATGATCTATAACTGATCCGTTGTCAGCAAAAACATCTGCAAAGAGATACCCACCCAGTGATATAATATTACTAAGTAATTAAAAAAATAATTACCACAATCGGACTTAATATCTAATTGGGGGTTCGAGATTCCACTAAGACTGCGAACTTTCCAATGTGGATCTTGGCTTTGTTGCTCGATTTGTTCTAACCTATAAAATTTTCATTGTAAATATTCAATATCTTTAAATAAATATTTCCTTAAATTAACATTACCTTATTCCAATCATTGACAGTATCTTCTTTCTCCTGCCACCTTTTTAAACCAAATTGCTGTCCATATTGTATGAAACCAAAAATTATTCACAGTAATAGTCTATACCGGCACGGCTAATAAAAATCAAATGATTGTTTAATCAATATTGACATAATTCAAATATATCAACACAACGTATCAACTATACTGGCATATTTAACTAAAATAACCGAAATACATCAAATGTGCCACAAATTGCTGTGTCACTATTGCTCAAACATAACGAAACGTCACTAAGCACAGTCAACTAGTCACTGAAAATATGCGATGGTTGATAGAACTTAAGAAGCTCAGCTCGTGGTAGCTCGTAGTGGCACAAGCGCAATCTCGAAGAGATTATTTGACCCACTGTTATGTCAGTATTGTTGAATGAAATTTTATCAAATTTTAAATTGTTTCACGTATTTTAACGTGTTTTGTGATTTTCTATTGTCGCCAGTGAGCGATTTATCCTAAAAGATTGTTTTCAAGATACAAGGTGTCAAAGTTAAAAAAAATCGTTTTTTTTTATTATTATCTCAAATTTGGCAGTGTTGTTTATGGTGATAAGACGCGAATTTAGCAGTAACTAGTTATTAATAAATTGAAAACCAAACTTTTCAGAACACATAAATGCATATTTGAAATTACGGCCTATCGTTAACTAACATGAAAAGTTACTTCCTGTTAAGACTACCCATATTTTCCCAAGGATTGCTGGTCATCAAACAGCCACCACGTACATCATCACCAATATCACAAAAGCTTGTTTTACTGCGATTATCACAAAACCAAATTTCAGGTGAAAAACAAGCAAGGCATGGTGCATAAAAGTTTGGTAATTCTACAAGAACACCGTCATTACGTCTAGATCTTTTTACACCACAAAAATTGCCACAGGTACTTGAAAATAAGAAAAATTCTCCTTATGTTTTATGCAACAAGAATTCGATCCCCTCCTGGCCATACACAATTACAAAATTTGAAGCAACAACTCAGCAAGTAGTTTCACTTCCTCACGCAGAAAGAAAAATTATTGATAATGATGAAAGGACAGGAAAAACTCATCACATACACAAAAACTTGAAACATCTAAAGGGAACAAGTCCATCAAGAAGCCCAAGCTGAACCTGCAATAAAATCAAAAAGTAGGAAATAATGGAAAAAGTAAAGCATGTGTTACTAAGTCAAGAATAGAAAGAGAGGAAAAAAAGAGACAGCAGTTCAGAAGATGAGAAAGACGACGACGCAGTTTGCATTTATTGTACAGAATTGTGTTCTAAATCTAAGACGAACGACGGTTGGGTAATGTGCCAGGACTGTCGACTTTGAGCTCATGAAGCTTGCGCAAGGGTGGAGAACGATACTGAGTCGTACTCGTGCGATTCTTGTATGTATTAAACCGTTAGAAACTTAATAATAAAGAGCTATACATAAATCTCTCTCGCGTACACAAGTGACGCACGATTTGAATTTTTTAGAAAAAATCCCGTCGTAAATAAGTCACATGATAAAACTGCAAGAATCTTCTTTTGATTGCTGAAGGGGTTACGTATAAAAACAGCGGGTTCTGATAGCCCCATGCTATGGAGATGCTTAAGTACTCGGAAATAACCAGTCAGAATATTTGTTATCAGCCGCAGAATATGTCTAATAATATCCAAGTACTTTTTTACTTTAAAGTTATCAGGATAATCTAAAAGCTCCCTAGCAACTCTGCATCATCTTGTATTGTTCCATCTTTCCTTGAATTAAATTAGGTTGTCAGCCTAATTAAAGAGCCAGGTCCAAAAAGTATTTGGTTGGCAGCTTTTCGACTAGTGAAGTCAGCAAGATTGTTACCTTTCGATGTGACATGACCTTTGATCCATCTTAAGATGACCACATTGTTGATGGACATTCTAGTGTTAACCCGTTGTTTGGCCAGGTTGCTTGGCTGCTATCTGCAAAGATCATAATGTTACTTTCAATGACATTGCTTTTGGTAACTTTTTTTGTTGCTATGAGAATCTCCGTGAGCTTGGTTTGAACTCTATTGCTCACAGCTCATTGTATGTTTAAGTTTAAGAATCTGTTTTAGAACCTTCGGTGTAGATAAAAATCGTTACTGCCACTTCCGGCTCATCTATTTGTTTCGTAATAATTTTATATGGCTCTTAGAAAGATATAGCTCGATCAGATGGAGTATATGTTCGCTTAAAGCAGTGGGAGTGTATCAAGCACCTCCTGCCAAAAGCGACATCTTGATTCACCAGATCCTATATCAGACTCTAATCTAACTGTGCGGTGTCGTGTCATTTTTATCACAGCAACAATGCAAATTGTAAAGTGAGAATGAGAATAACTGTCACGGCTTCTGTGTGTATGGGAACATGTTTGATTTACTTGTTTCTTATTAGAATAATAGAAGTAATATAGAAGAGCAATTCAAAACTAAAGCATGGTGAAGATGACACTGACTCTAAGACTATTTTGTAAAAATGACTCGTACAACTTAATTAAAAGGATTTTACGCAATGAAATGATTTTAATAAGACACTGCCAGATAGATAGTATCCTCATTTTAACAAAACCACTAATCAACTCACCGCAAATTATCGCCCGCATTTTTTAATTACAAAAAATTCAGGACGACAAAAAATAAAGTTCATTATGAGCCACTAAACAAACACCGCAGCATAACCAAATAAAAATTTTACTCTTTAAACCGCTTTTAACCATAAAATACGGTCGACAATAAATCGCAATTTCATTATCAAATCAACGTATAAATACACCGAAAAATCCTCATGATAACAGACATAATTTATTGCCAAACTTTAATAAAGCGTGTATCAACGACCGAAGCTTGGAAGTTGTCACCGAAATTGTTTCTCGTTTGGTATATTCAAAGCAAATTGAATTTTGATGAAGTCTATAACTAGCACAAAGAAATATTAATGCTCTTATTGAACTCTACGGTGACGCTTAGTAGGCTTAGTGCCACTTATTTGGCATGCTTCTTTGTTATAATATATTAAAACGTCGGTGACGGTAGATAACCAGCCGGGCCTTTCAACCGAAGATAACGGTGATTTCTTTTATATAAGAAATAAGTAAGAGGGTTATCTATATCACAAATATGGTATACTTATGTTAGTTACAAAAAAAAAACTTTTATAATAATCCACCATGTTTTGTAATAATATTTCGGCTCACGAACTGACAACACTAAAAATTAGAAGCACTGACTATCCCGCCCGCATACCCCTCGTCGCAACACCTATTCGTCATTAATGTTTTGGCTAATAATAAGCACTATATCGCTAGGGTAAGGGATACGAAGTGACGAAGGTCTAACCGGGTGGGTGTGTTCCTCATGGGTTTAAATCGTATAAATACGATTGAACATCTTACAGGTAAGTCGTTTAATCGTTAATTATACTTCATTAAACCCATTTCGGAACACCATGTTTTGTAAGTTGTTGAAAGTTTATGGCGATCTAGTGAAAACTACTATGTCAAAGTAAACTTAAACTGTATTTTTATTATATATATAAACTTTTTTTTTATCAAAATATACATATATCTATTAAGTATTTAACAAAGGCACTTATGGTAAATACCAATACATATACACCTTAACGTGTTAAATGTATTTAACTTGAATGAAAAAACTGAGTAGATAAATATAACATGGCACATAATACATGCGTAAACAAATAACCTACACTAACTTATTTATTTTCCATCTAAGATTGATTTGGCAAAAAGACAATTATCTAAAACTGGTCTATTGTAAAACCTAGCGAACACATCTGATTTTTCATTCCAACCATCCACACTTCTTATAGTCTCTGTTTACTCCTTGTCTATTGGCAGCAGAAACAGCTGCATGCCTAGTACTATACCCTTTGAATTTTGATATATCTATGCCACTATTTTGCAATGCTTTCTTTATCCATCTGGACAAGGTTTGAGGGGAAGCAATATGATAAGGTTTTTTTATGTGTAATTAGTAAATAACTGTCTTCCTTGGGTCTTTTGAGTTTTGTAGAATTTATGTAAAATAATAAGGTGGTTGCCACACAAAGTTCTGGCTTTTCTGTAAATATAGGAAAATTTAAAATGGGCTGAGCTCTATTGCGAGAGGAAGTTTTCAAAATATCTGTAATAACAATTTCTATTCGATCTTCATAATTATGTATATTAGTTAATTGAATTTTTGATAAGGTCTGCATTCTCTGGGTAGATGTGAGAGCTAAGAGGGTAACTAGTTTAATAGATAGCATCTCAAATGATATCTTTTCCAATGGATACAGTTTAGACAAGTAAGATAGTACTTTTTCTGGTTCCCATGTTTCTTGATATTTAGGAAAACTAGGTTTAAGTCTAAAAGTGCCTTTTAAAAATCGTTTTAATAAATCTGTATCTCCTGAACTATTTGTTAATAATTTTACTGCCGACAAATGAGCATTCAAAGAGTTATACGAAGCGCCTGCCGTTAGGCACATATTTAAAAAACTAATTACCAGCTTGCTATCTGAATTTAAGATATCTAAATTATTTTTGGAGCAAAATTTCCACCATTTCTGAAGAGATCCATTGTATTGTTTGATGGTATTGTCACTTAGGGATGCTAATAAAATGGGGATGCAGTCTTCTGCTAAGCCTCTTTGTTTAAAAGCTTCCCTGATAGCTTCCCAGCAACCAGGGTAAGGCGCTCTAACACCGGATGACTTTTTCTGAAAAGATACAGTAATAAATTACTTTCTGGGGGA